GGAGTATATATTGGACGTTGAATCTGTTGTTATTTAGCTTGAATAAAGTGTAGGCCTATTCGCGTATACGCCAAAATTCTAGAAGTTTAGATTAGAGAATTAGAATTTATGTTCGATGCTTATTCAGGTCTGCTGCCCATGGACGCCCTCTACTGTAGGAAAATACCTTTATGCACGGCCCTTGAGCTGTTTATAATAATGTTATATAATTATGTACGTAATAATATATAACGTATACAATAATGTTTTTATATACAGCTCAGTGGATACGGATCTGGTAAGAGCAATCGGGTACCCTCGGACCATTCAGAGAATAGCGTTGACTGTTTTCTAGGCATGACGGGAAGAGTCGAATGGGTTTTCCGATTGCTGGTTAGAGTAGTCGCCTAGCGCCATCTAGTGTGACATTGGGGTAAATTATTAGCGGTTAGATGCGGAGAGAAGATGATTCCATCGCCAGCTGTGGTGAAGACGGGTGCAGCTAGGAGGGGGGGGGGTAAGGCGTACTTCGTTCTCCGCTGCCGCATACCTAACACTCCAGCCTGCTTTCCACTGACCTTTCTGCTTTCCAATCACCTTCCTGCTTTCCACTCACATTCCTGCTTTCCACTCGCCTTCCTGCTTTCCACCCACCTTCCTGCTTTCCACCCACTTTTCTGCTTTCCACTCACCTTCCTACCTTTCTTCCACCTTCCTGCTTTCTACCCGCTTTTGTGTTTCCTGTATCCACTTTAGTGTTTCTTATACTGATCATCCTGTTCACTCCTTGCCTTCGTGTCACTATACATTATGTTCAGCCTCCTACCTGCCTTCGTACCATACTTCCTGTTCCCTACCCGGCTTCATACTGCCAATTCTAATTTCTGTTAGCTCACTTTAGCACGTAGGCAAAGTCAGTAGTGCATTATAGAAATTTTTGAATACAAACTTATTATTACAACAAATCATTACTTTATAATAATAATTACAAAAAGATATATCTTGGCTTGCTTACTGCACGCTCGATCATCAATGGTATAGCCGCGACGTAGTGCTACCAGTGCTACCAGTACGCTTAATTATTATCGCACTAAAGACCACTGCTATATTTAGCGGCTCTCTCTATGTGAGTGCGTTCTACGGAGACACGTTGTGTACGTAATGATCGGTAAACAATTGTTCAGGCCCTTGGCAATGCGAGACGGCGTGTCAGCTGTTTGCTGAAAGATCGGGCGAATACACTCTTTTCATTCGGCAAACCTCGGGCGATTCCGCTCCTTTCATTCGGCAAACCTCGGGCGATTCCGCTCCTTTCATTCGGCAAACCTCGGGCGATTTCGCTCCTCTCATTCATTCGGCAAACCTCGGGCGATTCCGCCGCTTTCATTCATTCGCCAAACCTCGGGCGAGCCCGCTTGCCTAATTTGTTAGCTGTAGCTACGGTACGGAATCGGCTGAGGTATGCCGAGTGTATGTCAGACGGATAACTGGGGAAGAGAAGCAGTACTAGAAACATCATTAGTCTAGAAAGTGGCACTAATAGTTAGCACTAGTAGTAGTATCAACGGCAGCATCACCAGCAGTAGTACCAGCAGTAGCAGCAGCAGCACCAGCACCACCACCACCACCACCACCAGCAGCAGCAGCAACAACAGCAGCAACAGCAGCAGCATCACCACCACCACCACCACCACCACCACAACCACCACCACCAGCAGCAGCAGCAGCAGCAGCAACAGCAGCAGCAGTAGCAGCATCATCATCACCACCACCACCACCACCATCAGCAGCAGCAGCAGTAGCAGTAGTTCTGTACGGCTAACAATCTCTGCTAATCATCGCTGACATGGTCGCTTTAAAACATACACACGCACACACGTACATAGAGAGAGAGAAAAAGGACATGCAGGATCATCGTCCTGTTTCTTAAGTCAGATCTACCGACAAAATTTTATCATAGAATTCTATGCTAGAATACCTTCTCTCTATTTTAAATGCAAAATTGTTGCAAAATATTAATATTCTCGAGAGATATTGCGCATGCGCGAGCCCCATTTCAGGCGTGCAGTACGGACTGAAGACAACTGCATGATATAGCTTGCTGAGAGAAGGAGTGAGTGTTGGGAGACTGGGGAAAGGCAGCAGGGAAGATAGCTGGGGCGGGAGAAAAAGAAGGAGGCTGAGCGAAAGACAATGGAGGCAAGGGGACGGGCGAGAGTGGACGAAGTAGGGATTTTGTACCCTACAGGCTAGGGCGCTCTCCTAATTATAAACACAGGTCTACTGCTAACAATTAATTACAGAAATCTATGCTGAGATACCCCCTAACCATATTAAATTCATAATCATCACAAAATATAACCCTTCTAGTGAGATATTGCGCATGCGCAAACACACTAACGTGGCCAGATTATGTACTGGCTGGGCTATGCAGCGGGGATCTTACATGCAGGATCATCGTCCTGTCTTTTAAGTGAGATCTACGGATGGCATTTTATTATAGAAATCTATGCTAGAATACCTCCTCTCTATTTTAAATGCATAATTTTCGCAAAATATTAGTATTCTTGAAAGATATTGTGCATGCGCGAGAACCGTTTCAGGCGTGCAATACGGACTGAAGACAACTGCATAATATAGCTTGTTGAGAAAGGGAGTGAGTGTTGGGAGACTGGGGAAAGACAACAGGGAAGAAAACTGGGGCAAGAGAAAAAGGAGGAGGCTGAGCGAAAGACAATGGAGGCAAGGGGACGGGCGGGAGCGGATGAAGTAGGAGTTTTGCACTCTACAGACTAGGGCGCTCTCCTAATTATAAACACAGGTCTACTGATAACAATTAATTTCAGAAATCTATGCTGAGATACCCCCTAACCATATTAAATTCATAATCATCACAAAATATAACTCTTCTAGTGTGATATTACGCATGCGCTAACAGATTAACGTAGCCAGATTATTCACTGGCTTGTATATGCAGCGGGTACCTTACTTGCAAAGTATTTGTCCTACTTCTTAACTGAGGTATCTTATTCTCTCGCTCGCTCCCTCCCCCTATTTCTCTCTCTTATTCTCTCGCTCGCTCGCTCACTCCCCTCCCTCTCTCATTCTCTCGCTCGCTCCCTCCCTCTCTTTCTCTCTCTTATGCTCTCGCTCGCTTCCTCCCATCCCTCTCTCATTTTCTCGCATCACAAGCCATCCTCAACTTCTCATTCCCCCACTATCTACCTTTCTGTCTCTTGCTGTTGCTCTCTCTTTCTTTCTCTCTCGCTCTCTATCTCTCTCTCTCTCTCTCTCGCTCTCTCCCGCCTCACTTTCTCTCGTCCTGTACAATTGTGTGATTGTCATCCTTCCTCACTGTCTCTCTCTCTCTCTCTCTCTCTCTCTCTCTCTCTCTCTCTCTCTCTCTCTCTCTCTCTCTCTCTCTCTATCTCTCCGCATCTCTATGTCCACAGAACCCTGCCTAAATACGCTTCGAAAAGTCATGGTGTGAGGCCATCGCGATGCAGTTACGAATTCATGCATGCAAACCCATCTTTCCTCACGCGCATACATCCACATGCATCTTTCCGCGCGACCGCTGGATGGCGCTGCCAATGCCAAATGCGAACGCGCCATCTCTCGTCTACTGCTGCATTGCACGCGCACGAAAGAGCCATACACACATACACACACCCAGAGAGAGAGAGAGAGAGAGAGAGAGAGAGAGAGAGAGAG